ACATCCTGTTGTTAATTCTCTGTAGAGATGGATGTTCCTATATCTTTCTCTACTCCATACTGATGAATTCATACCAAATCCTCTATATTATCTTCTACTTTCTCTCTTCTATTTAAAAACGTTTAACAACTGAATATATTTAAGATGTACAACATGATTTGATATATATGTACACAGTACACTAATTACCATAGTTAAATTAACATGTCCATCACCACTCAAGTTACCTCTGTATGGGCATCGTAGGTAGTAAGGACACTCAAAATCTTCTCTCATCAAATTTTAGGTAGACAATGCAGTATTAACTATAATCACTGTGCTGTATACTAGACCCCAGAATCTATTCATTAAACTGAAAAACTTTATTTTATTTGACCAACATTTCCCCATATCCCCTATGCCTGAGCTCCTGGAAATCACTATTCTTCTCTCTGCTTCTATTAGTTCAACATTTTAAAATTCCACAGATAAATGAGATTGTACAGTATTTGCATTTAATTTTCTGGACTATTCCATTTAGCACAAAGTCTTTCTCATTCTTCATGTTATCACAAAGGCAGGATTTCCTTCTTTCCTATGGTTAAATACATTTCCTTGTATATATGCCACATTTTCCTTATCCATTTATCTGTCAGTGGATACTTAGGTTGTCTCTGCATCTTGGCAATTATGAATAGTGCTGCAATGAACTTGAGTTATGCTTTCTTCTTGAATCTGTTCATCTAAATCCACAAGAACTCTACCCTAACCCAAGCCAACATCATCAATCACCTGGATTATTTCAATGGTCAACTAGCCCATTTTCTCATATCTACTGTTGCTCTTATACAATATATTATTCAAACCATAGCTAAAATGATAATTTGAAATGATAATGGCCCTTCCCTATTTAAAATAATTCAGATTAAAAACCATTAGATTGGACTGGTGCCATGTCAGAGACCAACCAAGATGGGGAGAGTGTCCGTACAAAGGAGGAAAAGTGAGTCTGTATGTATTGGAGCCCCTGCAGGGTGAGTTGTGTATCTCTGTGATTGGAAAGCCTGACCCAGACTGGAACCTAAGTCATGTGAGTAAAACATCTGCTCAGTGTAACTTGTGGAATCCAAGTGGGATAAAGAGGGCAACTAAACAGTGGATAGGCTGGCATCAACAATGAGAGATTAATTAGGGTATTATGGTTTGGAAATAGGAATGTCCCCTGAAAAGCTAATATAATAGGCAATTTAGAAATTATTAGATTATGAGAGTTATAATTTCATCACTACATTAATCCATCAAATGGATTAATAATATGAATGGACTACTGGGTGATTACTGCAGGAAGATGGATGTGGCTACTGAAAATAGGTTCCTGAAGGTGTGGCCTAAACTCTATCTATAGTCTATGGTTCCTTACTTTCTCTCTTCTTCCCAGCTGCCACGTGCCAAGCAGCATTCCTCTGCTACACCCTTGTGCCATGATGTTCTGCTCATCTCAGGCCATGAGAGCAATGGAGGTGGTGGACCATGAACTAAGACCTCTAAAACCATTAGCCAAAGTAAACTTTTCTTCCTCTAAGTTGCTCCTCTCATGTATTTTGGTCACAGCAATGAAAAGATACTAACACAAGGGGAATTGAACAAATGAGAATATCAAGGATAATGAAGATCAGTTTTCAAAGAAAGGAACTACACATGTAAAAAGAAATAAAATTAAAATGAATGAATTCTGAGTTCTGTGGCATTGCCTTGCAAGGAGAAGTATCACTGTAAACTGATAGTTGTATGCATGTAAATGTGAATATTGTGGGTGTATGCGCATCTATATAGGAGCATATGTTCCCTACCTTTGTCTACAGAAAAGCAATAGTCCCAATAGCATGGAGCACGCCTAGCTCCCCGATCTTGCTATCGAATTACTGTTCTTCAAAAGAACCAAGACTTTTTAAAGAATTCGCTGTCAGGTCTGAGGCAGTGAAAGTCCTAGAGGAGCCTAGAACTTCATACTATGCACAAAACAAACATATTCAAAGTCTGAAACCACTTAAACATCTAAATAAGTGATAGTAATAGATGTCCATTTAATGAAATGGAAATCCATGAATCTACAAAAATATTAATTAATGAATAATTGAAAGTTTAGTGATAAGTAGGAAATTTGCAGAGGATCAAAGTACCTCTTTCACAAAGCACTTATTTTAAAAAGGAAAAATGTAACTTTATAGGGGAAAAGTGTCACAAAAAGTTTATAATCGAGCAATCTAAGTGAATACTATGAACAATGAGACAAATCAAACTCTGGGCTACCTAATAATAAGATACAATGAAAAGAATATAGTGCCATTTCTATTGTATCCCTGTCATAACTGCATAATTTATTTATGAGAAAATGTGAGACACACCAAACAGAAAGTTATGTATTAAATAACTGGCATGTGTCATTCACAATTGCCAAGGCCTTAAAAGTCAAGAAAAAACTGGGAAACTGACCGAAGGAGTCTAAAATGTAATGACACCGAATGAAGAAAGTAGTTCCTTACTAGGTCCTTTTACTGAAAAGACATTATTGGGACAATTGGCAAAATATGAATAGGGTCTGTGGATTAGACAATAATAATGTAGTAGTTTAATTTCCTGGTTTTGATGACTGTGTTGTGGTTATGTTCTTATATGTGAAAAGAAAAAGCAGGCAGGCAGACAGACCACAGGTTGGGAAGATAATGAGACAAATTAGCAATGACTCCCAAATGGTTGAGAAAAACAAAGTATTTGTACTATAAATTGAATGCTTTATAACTTTGAGATTGTCTCCAAATTTAAGTAACAAACATACAATGGCATTCCATTACATGAAACTGTTCTGTAGCTTCCTGTTGCTCTTAGGAAAAAAGACAAAAATCCTTAAAACGAGGATTTTTATGAACAAGACTGCATAATCTTGTTCCTACATTTCAGTTTTGTTCTGCTAACTCTCTCCTTTTGGCATGTTGCATTCTGTTGTTCTTTTTGTTCCTTAAACATTCTTGAAGTACAGGGCTATCCACTTGCTGTGCCCTCTGCCCAGAACATTCTCCATTTCCTGGCCTCATATTATATTAAATTTCTTCTATGCTTTTCTTCCTTTCTTTTTTTAAATTTGGTATGACCTTTTCCAAACCTTTGTCTCCAGGAGTAGGTCGTTTTCCCATTATTCGTCCTCACAGCACTAAGTATTACAGACTTGTCTGAATAATTGATGTAAACTCTATTATACTGCTTTTTGAGGGCAGAACCATATCTTTACTCAGTACAGGATCCCAAAGGATCTAGCCCAGACAACAATAAACAGTTTTAATAAATTGCTTTAAATTGCTACATTTGGCCTAATATTCTCCAAACTACTCTCCCTTTTCCAGCTTTCTCCCCTTGTATCATCTTGCCAATATCTGAGATAGTTATGTAAAATACTCAGTCCTTTACCTAAAAGCTTTAAAAAGCTTCCTCAGCATCTAAAATGTCTAAGTCTTCATCCGTTATGGCATTTATAAAAAGATGACCTGGGCCCAGCTTAATTCTCCAGTTTTCAATTTGTTTTTCAAGCTATCCCATTCCTCAGTTTATACCCACAAGACTTAAAATCAGCAGCTACAGCAATGTTTATAGCAGCTCAATTCACAACATCCAAACTATGGAACCAACCTAGATGCCCTTCAACAGATGAATGGAAAAAGAAAATATATTATATATACACAATACTCAGCCTTAAAGAATAAAGAAACTATAGCATTTGCAGGTAAATGGATGGAGCTGGAGAATATCATGCTAAGTGAAATAAGCCAATCCCCAAAGGCAGAATGTTCTGATATGTGAATGCTAACTTCACAATAAGGGGGTGCTGGGGAAAAACAGATATACTTTGGATTAGGCAGGGGGGAGTGAAGGGAGGGAGGGGTTGGGGGTAGAAACGATAGTGGAATGAATGTACATATATGATTATACAACCAGTGTGATTCTACATCATGAACAACCAGAAGAATGAGAAGTTATACTCCATTTATGTATGATGTGTCAAAATGCATTCTACTGTCATGTATAACTAATTAGAACAATTTTTAAAAAGAAAAAATGTTGGTTTACAGTGTGGCATAATAATTAACATCATAGTCCCTGGAGCCAGGTTGCTTAGGCGTGAATCTCAGCTCAAATACATATTAATCACAATTTCAGCAACTGTGTAATGCGTATAATAATAGCCATTATCTAATAGGAGGTCTGAGTTAATACATGTATATATATTCTTAGACCATTTCCTGGTACATGTTGACAATTATCACATCAGGCTGCTTCTAATATTTCTTCCTTTGTTCATTCTACTTCTTCTGGTTTCCTACAATATTAGCCATAGATCCCATGTATTCATAAATTTTTTATAAGCTGATATTTGGCATACTACCAATGAAGTTGCTACCCACTACAACTTATTTCATGTTGGGCATAATGTCATAAATAGGTATCAGCTTCGTTGTGTTGTTCTCTTTTGATGGTCCTAAGCGTAGCTACTTCCGTTGTTATATTGCTCCAGGTTCAAAATGCATTCTGTACCAGATCATGTAGATACAAGGTGAAAGAAAGGAGTATGGATAACGCCCTAGTATCTGGCTTGAACGACTCAGAAGCCAGGAACTACTGGAGAATGCTCAAATGTTTGTTGGTACAATCACATTTTTATTTCTTGCAAGTTTCCCATTGCCTGTTCAGTTCTCTAGGGTCACCCTGAAATGTCAGTACCGGGAAGCTCCCCTTTTCCTGCCAAATTTCCCTTTTCGGAGTGTCTCCCATCCATCAACCAGACAAAACTTGCACGTCTTCGACTTCCTATTAAAACTGGGGATTTAAGGAAATCTCACGCCCAAACCCTCCCTCAGGGTTTCGCCGTCACCCAGGCAACCGGACCAGGAAGGGGCGGGCTTCCCCATCCTTTCTTCCGCCGGCGGCCGGCGCCTGCCTCATTTAATGCGGGGGCGTTGGCTGCGCAATCTTCCCGCGTCCCTCAGCTCCGGGATGGACCCGGAGCTGGAGCCGGATCCCGGACAGACAGCCACGTCAACCTAAACCTACACCACCCTCCCCACCGCGCCGCTGCGGCGGGTCTCCGGCCGCGTCCTCCACGCCTTTCCCACAATGCCCCGCAGTAGGCTCCGCCCAGGCTCGCCGTGGAGAGCGGCGCGCGAGGAACGAGGAGCGGACCGGAGCTGTCCGCGCGCTCTCGCTGCCGGTGCGGGGCGTGCTCCCCCATCCCGAGCTCGGCGGCCTGGCGGTCGGAGAGTGCGTGCTTTCCTTCTCCGCGCACAGTTTGGGTTCGACTGGACAGGGTCCGCCGGGGATTGAGGATGGGGGAGTAGCCGCTGGAGGCTTCACAGAGGTGGGCATGGGCCGGGGGCTGGGGCTGTCCCGGAGCCGGCGGCGGCCTGGGCCCTCCCGGGAGGGAGGGTCGGCGTGCTTGTGCTCCTGACCCCCCCCCCCTTCTTAGCTCGGACGACTGGCGTGCGGTGTTCTTGTCCAGCTCTTCCTCCCATCTACCCGCTCCGCCCTCTGTCTGTGGGTTCCCGGCTTTCTGCTCCCATTTCTCACTTTAGCTTCAGTCAACTCGGGTTCCCCGTCTCTTGATCAGACCTGACACTTGGGACACGCGCAAGACAGTCCTGTTTCCCCCTCTCCACTTTCTCCCCCATTTCACTCCGGGGAGATGTCTGCGGGAGGCTTTCGCTTTTCGAGAAACGCTTTTAGCGTTTACCTGCAGCTTCCACCTGTACCAGAGCTCCAGCTTGGGCAGTTCAACCACACCCACGCTGACAGAACAACCCCTAGGGGAGGAACACCTCATCCCAAAGTGATGTTTGAGATGTTCTCTTTTTCTGAAGGTTGTTTTCAGCCTGGGTGTTTTTTCTTCATCAGTATATTTCCCAAAGGTATAGTTTTGGGGCATGAAAAGGTGGGATTAGAAACGAGACGAAGACCATTCACAGGTAAGGAGGAATTTTTAAAACGAGGCATTTGGGATTAAAGGAAGAAAGGTAGAACTGGCTGAGGATGCTCGGAAAGTAAAGTTTTTCAAAGCATTTTGAAATCTTGGGTACTAAAGTGTACTAGTTTGTGATATGATGAAATAATGATTCTTTTTATCCTTCAGAAGTGAACTTGTCTAAATAACTGATTCTCCTTTTCCTATTGTTTCTATTTTTATTCATATTGAACGTGAACTTTGTGGTATAAATACATTAACTATTATTCTATTTTTGTAAAATAGCCTCTACTCAAATTTAGTATAAGCACCTTAGAAAACTCGGGAAAGATGGCCTGCCATCTAAGTTATGTATTGTAACAGGGTAATTAACTGATGTATTTTAAAAGGTTATGTGAAAAGTAGAGACCCTGTGGAAAAACACTGTGCTTCCTCCCAGTCCCCTGAAAAGATATTTCCTACAAATGAGATCTAATAAAAAGAAAACCACACAGCTTTAAGGAGTGTAAAAATAGCTGAAAAAGAAAAAGGTATTACAAAAGGACAACACCTATGCTAGGTAGAAAAAAGAAAATACATCCTTTTCTTGCCCTTGTGTTCGGATGCTGATCAGAGGTTTTTCCCCATTGTATAAATTACTCTTTGTGTGTGTGTGCAGGCAATTGAGTGTTCTAGCTAGTTACCACTAGTCAATACCTTTATCTGCTGTCTTGAGATTTACACAAAATTGGCCACCAAAATATGGAAGCTGTGAGGAAAGGCCATGAAGAATAGATCTTGCAGATTGGCCATTTGATGGACATTTCATGGCTTGACCGTGCTATTTGAAATAATTTATGTTATTGCTGTTTCATTTGAAATGTGTTTTAACTGCCTGGTTTTCTCTGTTTAGATTAACATTTTTGGAGACAATCCGTTGATACTTGATTCACCCTTGAAGTTATGCGGACAGAAGTTCTCAAATTTGCGTATTACATCAGCTGGACCCAGCAGTCTGTCTTAATGTTCACTTAAACCAGAGCTTGTATAAGAATGAGAATGGGAGTCTGGTTAAATAAGGATGATTATATCAGAGACTTAAAAAGAATCAGTCTCTTTCTTCTCATAGTGTATATGGCTGTTTTAGTGGGCACAGATCAGGATTTTTACAGTTTACTTGGAGTATCCAAAACTGCAAGCAGTAGAGAAATAAGACAAGCTTTTAAGAAATTAGCATTGAAGTTACATCCTGATAAAAACCCAGTAAGTAAAGTTTTGCTTTTGAAAATATCTGATTATTGTAGTACATTTTGATATTTAAAATATTTTGAAGAAGAGTTTAAAGTGATGAGGAATAGTCACATGCCAAAAGTGACAATTCAGTTAAAAACAGAAGAAGAAAAATATTCTCGTCAGGAATGGTGGGAAGGAATGCCATACCAAATAGGCAGTTCCCTATTAATTTGAAAACTATTTTCAGCACATATATTAAAGATAATAATTCTCAAATTATGTCTGTAAAGGAGTTTTTAGTGTAGACTAGGTTATGATCAACTGTTTTAGAGAAGAAAATAATTTTCAGAACTCAGTGTCTTGCCAAAAATGACAATAATAACTGATAATTATGTGCTTTAACTTCCCTTTTTTTTTCACACATAAGACCACAGACCAGTTAGAAAGTTTTATATATTAAAACTTGAGAGTATTCAGATGTACTTCCATTTATAAATATTTGTGTATCCAATAATGTGATCTTTAAAATTACTTTTAATTTTTATGGTCTGTTTGTAATTTGTGTAATGAATTCAATAATAGCTTTCATCATTATTAAGAATCAAATGATTAAGTTTTTTTTTTCAAGGTAGAATTTTTTTTAAAAGGATTTTATTTCTGAAACAAAGCTGAGCAATAGAAACAGTATTTCTTTAGAACTCTTTATTAATTATCTTTGTGATCTATATTTAGGATTTTCACTTTTTTCAGTTTTTCTTTTAAATTTTCAGAATATGAAAGATGGTAGACCTACATTCGTATATTATTTAAATGAAAGCATCCTTCAAAAACCAAAATATAATAAAAGAGAAACTGCCAATCCAGTTTGAATTATTGCTTATATTAGTTCTTATGTAATTATCTGAGGGATTGGAGCACATACTTTTTTAAGTTAATATGTTGATCTGCCTCAGAAAAATATTCTACAATCTATGATTGTTTCAAAAATAATATTTTAAAAATTAAGGATTTCAGTCTTGTTTTTATTCAGTTGCATTTGTAATTAGAAAATATTTCTTGATTTTATCCCGTGATTACTCATATCGCTTTATACTAACCCCCACCATGTTGGTATATAGTATTCGAGAAATCTTTGTTTTAATTAATCTACACATAGGTTCTGAAAGGACTTGGATTATGTATCTTAAATAACTGTCATTTGTAATATTTTTTAACAGAATAACCCAAATGCACATGGTGATTTTTTAAAAATAAATAGAGCATATGAAGTACTTAAAGATGAAGATCTTCGGAAGAAGTATGACAAATATGGAGAAAAAGGACTTGAAGATAATCAAGGAGGCCAGTATGAAAGCTGGAACTATTATCGTTATGATTTTGGTAAGGTCATATATTGTGAATTTTATTATCTGATTTTAAAAAGAAGTTAATTTTGTTTCACCACTTAGCTTGTGAATTTAATATGTATCATCTTGATTTGCTTTTTTGAATTTACTCTGGGAGTGGAATTCTAAAGGCAGGTAACTTGGTATGCGGAGGTTATCTGTACAGATATGAAAGTGTATTGGCCAAAAATTCCTACTTAAAAAAAAGTGTGTGTGTATATACATTTACATATGTTTGTATTAAAATTAATTTCTAGAACATCGTGTTTTCCAAAAAGGGTAAATCGTCTTTTAAATTTAATAGTGGTTACTTCAGTAGAAATGCCATCCTTCTCCTGTGTAACAAAAAATAAGGTAAGAACAGAGGGAGGAAACAAAGGAACCAAGGGAGACAGAAAATAAACACTGATATGAAGGCAGAATAACCAGTATTTCTCAGTCATTAATTAACCTCAAATGCAGTTTAACAACTGAAATATGCTTTTATATTAAACTGACAAAAATATTTTAAATTTGTTTTTAGAAAATGCTTCTTAAGACTGATTTTATTTTCAAAGTCATAGTTTCAAGTATATTTTCTGCAACTCCATAACTGTGTCAGCTGTTAGCAAACTACATTTTACTGACCATTTAAATCTGACTCACCACCTGTTTATATAAAATGTTTTATTGGAATGCAGTCATGCTTAATTGTTTTCATGTTGGCTATACGTTCACATTTTGAAGGCAGAGTTTAGTATTTGTGATTAAAAATCATAGGTCTTCAAAAGCCCCAAATGTTTACTAATGGCCTATATAGAAAAAGGTTGCTGACTCCTGGTTTTATATCCATTGTTAGTACTATTTGGATATTTTATATAGTAATGAGAAATTTTCTCACATTGATTTTAATTATGGTAAGTAAAATTCATATTTACTGCTAAATGTTAGAAAATAGAAATTTTCTGTGGAGATGAAATTATGTAAATATTAGAAACTTCCTCTACCCCCAATAAACTCACACTCTTGACAGGACAGATCAGAAAACTAATGTCTTTTTGTTGTTGTTGTTTTATTTTTGTTTTTAGTAGTTGTAGATGGACAGCAAGCCTTTATTTTATTTGTTTATTTTTATGTGGTGCTGAGGATCAGACCCAGTGCCTCACACATGGGCAATAAGCACTCTGCCACTGAGCTACAGCCCCAGCCTGAGAAAACTAATATTTTTATATCACTTTGCAGATGTATCACCAATAGTATTATTTCCTGTTGGTTTTTCTGTTAGTTTACTACACATTATGCAAGTTTGAGAATTTATATAAAAATTTTATTTTTTCATGGTTAAAACAAAAATGAATATTACGTGGTAATTTACTTTTATGGAGAAGTGTTTATAATTTTTGTATATTTTAAAAATTAGGTATTTATGATGATGATCCTGAAATCATAACATTGGAGAGAAGAGAATTTGGTAAGTTTGTAGACATGATTTTCTAAAACTAGTTCAATCTCAGTATCATCTCTTGGATCTAAATGTGTTCAGAAGTTAGAAACATTTGGGATTTTAGAAAGGTAATAATGGAATATTGTTTATATATTAAACAGTGTTTCCAGAAGAATGTGAGGTAGTATGCCATTAATAAAGACACTAGTATTTCTGTAGCAAAATGCATATGTATGAAAAAATGCGTATATATATATATATATATATATATATATTTATTTATTTATTTATTTATTTATATGTAAATCAAACAAAAGAAATAAAAATAATATGTAGCTCTGTGTCCATTCAGGCCAGATTTGGATGCCAAATTAGCTTGCTGCATATTTGCAAAACAAAAAAAATTTCCATAAATAGAAGAAAGATCAGTAGAATAGAGGGAGGGAGGAAGGGAAGGAACTGGGAAATACTTGGGACTGAATTAAAGCAAATTATATTCCATGCTTTTATAATTGTGTCAAAATGAATCCTAATGTTTTGTATAACTAAAAAGAACCAGAAAGGGGAAAAAAGGAAAAAGAAAAACTTCCAGTGTCTGAGCTTTTTTATTTTAAAATTTTGGATTAGTATATGGTTATTTTAGAATCAGTTTTAATTTGATCTGTGATTTGTGTGAAAATGAATATTAAGAATATAGTTATGCATATTTCATTTCAGAAACTAACAAAAACTGGATTCAATTCTTACATTTTCAGTCTTTATACAATAATAATAGGTTTATTCATTCTTTTGTATTTCAAAGCAGTAAATTGAACCTCAAATTAAATTCTCATTTTATTCTTCTGTATTATAATCAGATTTAATTTAGAAAACTAAAATAGCATACCAGTTGCAAAAAGTATATATTTTATGTTTTTTATGTATTATCATCATAAAAGATGTATTATAGTCACTTGATTTTGTACCATTTATTACTTCTAAGCAAGTATTACCTTTTATTCTAACTTTTTATATCAGTGAATTCAGGCATAAAAAATAACTATACTGTGTTATAAGTTTTGCATGTGAATACAAGTTCTGAGTAAAGAGAAAATATATCTTCCCTACAAAGGAAGTAGGAAAATTTTGAATCGTTTGGATTATTGGTAGGATAAATTAACACCCATGTGATGAACTGGTGGACATAACTTTACAGCATGTTCACTATATAAATCTGTAGCTTTTCCTGTGTGGTTGTTATTGTCACTCGTCTTCTACTATTTTAGTGAGTGTTGTGTGGACCAAGAAAGCAGAAAACATTGGAATTACAGATAGAATAAAAGGAACTGAACAAAACCTGCAAATGAACTAGTTTATGAATCCACCTAGAATGAGACTTTACTGATATTGCACATTAGTTCAAGCTTTTTCAGCTGTGTCACTATGTGGAAAAGGCTGAGAACCACTAACAGTTCACGTAGAACTCCAAATAGTAGTTTTAAATTATTACAGCCACAAAATGTAAGACTAGATTACTAGCTAATATTGACAGTTCAATACATATTTGCCATTATTCCACTTGATATCTAATACTACTCTTCATATTACTAGACTTAGACAAGATAATTCTGAAGTTGTAGTTGAAGAAGCAGAAGATGTCAAACAGATGGTAGAATCAATTTGTACTTATGTAAATATCACACTACCCTCAATTGTATGTCTATTACCAGTTGTTTTCTTTTGCTTTGAGTTGTTTAGTCTTATGTTTTCATAAATATAGAATTATTTTAGTTTTGTTTTCTTCCTCTAGGAAAGATAATGTATTTTCTTCCAGTTAGGATCACCAGCAGTTTCAAATAAAGTAATTCAAAAGCTGTGCTTTGAATTTTGAGAGGACTAGTCACTTTCCAGTTGTTCTTTATATACAGAAACCTTCTTGAGATGTGCCCTGAATGCCCTTTTGTCCTTCTGGCCCAATAAATCAATTGAAATCTCTGCTCATTTCTTCCTTGTCAGCTGCTACATTTTCTCAAAGTGACAAACACTGACTCTGATTTTTACCTTTTTTCATACCATTAGCCCCTGATTCTTCACTGTTTGGTAACTCTCTAATACTTTTAACAAAGGTCTTTTATATTTTGTCCAGTTTTCCAATTTTAGTAGTGGCAGAATTAGTCCAAATTACATAGTTAAATTTTACCAGGAGGGAAAGCCCAAAATGTTCAAGTTTTGTTCAGAAGGAAAAACCTGATTACACTTTCACAGCTTTTAAATATTCTCATCTTTCTCAGTAAATATTCATTTTATCTTTTTATATGGTATAGGACAGTAGTGTTTCAGTCTTTATAATCAAGTTCTGGATGGTATTTGCAAAAGTGGAGAATGTCTCACATGTATACTGGTCATTCTTAGTAGTACCATATAATATAGGCATCCTTTAGAAAATAGTATAAGAAAGAGGATCTCAAAGCACTTCTGCCTTTTGTTGCATTTTTCTGTGTTTAAAGAAACTATTAGTTATAGTTGTCTAATTATTAACAGACACCAGTTTTAATTGGGTAATTCAGAGACCAAAAATTGGATCTTGAAATATACTCAAGTCTTTTAGGTCACTGAGTTATGTAAAAGCATTTCTTTGTGCTCTGAAAATGTAGTATTAAAAAAAATTGTAGCTGGGCACAGTGGAACATACCTCTGATCCCAGGAGGATCATGAGTTCAAACCCAACCTAGACAACATCAAGACTGTCTCAAAAAAGAAAAAAAAAAAATTAATGAAAATACTTTTAATCTTATTAGTCTTAATCATCCAGAACTGGGTAGATGTGTTAGAAGTGTCCATAAAAACAAAGTACCAAAATTACACATTTTCACAGTTATAACTAATAAGGTAATCACTTTTTCTAGTAAAGCTTGCATTCTACTGATATTTTTAATTAAATTAGCATCCATTGGTCATCAGAGCCAACATGGGAATTGTTTTAACCTAGACAGAGTTGTCTGTCACTTTCTAAGCATTGCTAAAAACAGTTGATAAAATTATAAATTATTTTGCCTTTGTACAATTAACTGTTTTTCCATAAATCTATCTTATTGAAACACAGGTGAATATTGACTCATACATATATCAAATTAACTTGAGTTAATCATGCATAGTTAATACAATATGCTTGTTTTGATGTCTCACTATAATTTATGAAAATTTTATTTTAAAATTACAAATAGATTGTGGGGGGGGAGTAAAAAAATAAAATTACCAATAACTGATTTTGATGTAGAATTGTATGAAAACCCTTAACCAAAAGCAAATTGCCCGTGCCTTTGAATGTACATATACACCCTTACAATGTTAAAATTATGAAATGAATTAAGTTTCTTTACCCTCATCAAGTCATTTACAGATTATAACATATATTGTTGATTAGACATGTTCAAATCTATTTTAGCAAATATGTATTTGTCTTGAAATAATAAAAACCTTTATCTAGTACTTCTCGAACAACATGATTTTCCAAGGTAAATGTCTTATCTATGGTAAAGATTAAATTTAATTCTACAATCCTTGCTATATTGTGTAGGTTTCTCATTCTTTGAGAATTTAAAATAGGCATCAGAATTGATTTGACCACATACTTAAACTATGCAATAGATAGTAGGGGAACCTCACTCTGAATCTTTCTCACTGGTTCTCTATTTCTCTTATCCACACAAGCTCTTACATAAGGTTGGCTGTTATTTCCATGTGTCTTTTTTATTTAAGTTTCAGAACCATATTTTTCTTGCAGCTCATGCATGCTTCTTACCAAATATGGGTTTAAGAAAGTTTTTTTTTTAAAGTTATTGTTGGTTTGACATTTGAAATATTTTCATATAAAAAGTTTTTATAGAAAATGATAAAGGTAGTTATGAAAGATTTATGACTGCTTTTTCTGTTAATCTCAAAAGTTTTTAACTAAACAGTAACGTTTAGTAAATTGTTTTATGTACTTTTAGATGCTGCTGTTAATTCTGGAGAAGTGTGGTTTGTAAACTTTTACTCCTCAGGATGTTCACACTGCCATGATTTAGCTCCCACTGTATGTATTTTTTACCTTCTGATTTTTTTTGCATTTTTATTTTTTAATATGTTGGGATTTTTCTATTTGTAATAATTATGACTATTAAATAATTATCAAATACTTTCACATATGTATAGTTTTATTTGATAAAATTTTTTTCCTTTAAGGCTTCATAGCTTGAGATGTTTTAAGGAGAAAAAATGAATAGAGGTATACTTTTTCTGTCATAGTGGAGAGACTTTGCTAGAGAAGTGGATGGATTACTTCGAATTGGAGCTGTGAACTGTGGTGATGATAGAATGCTTTGCCGAATGAAAGGAGTCAACAGTTATCCTAGCCTCCTCATTTTTAGATCCGGAATGGTAAGAGATGATTAGCAATTTTCAAATCTGTTGAACTTTATAACAAGTGAAATGGCTAGCTAAAGTACAGTGTATATATATATATATATGTTTTTAAGTGTTACTTTAGGTGCCACCTAAATAATAATAATGCATACTCATAGTAATATCCATAGAACTCATAGTAGTATTCTTTAGATCTGTCTTGTTGAAATATAGGTGATCATTGACTCCTACACTTTTCACTTTGAGATTATTTTATGAATACTTTTAAATGCCATTACTTTAACTTTGGTGTATGCCAAAATTAAATGTTTTCCAGTTTTAGTTTCTGTCTTAATTTATTCAACATGCATATTGTGGTTTGTTATTCACAGAGTATTTTGTAAATATTAACTTGTTGAATATTAAGCTCCAATCTCCTTTTTCCAAGTTTCCTGTGATAGAACTAAAACTATTAGTATTAATCAGATTCTTTCTGAAGAATCTGTACTATCCATTTTTCTCAGAATATCATTGGAAATGATACTACACTGTTGAGAGATACCTGTTTAAAATAATGTAAAATCAAAGTATTTGATACTCTCATTGTGAGTTTTAAAAAGAAAAGGTAAATATTTCTCTTTTTATAAAATTCAATAGGCTGCAGTGAAATATTATGGAGACAGATCAAAGGAAAGTTTAGTGAGTTTTGCCATGCAGCATATTAGAAGCACAGTGTCGGAATTATCAACAGGTAATTTTAATTTCTTTTTTTTTTTTTTTACAATTTTTTTTATTTATTTATTATTTTTAATTTTTAATTTTAATTTCTTAATGTGCTTGATGTTCAAGGATACTTTTAAATGGGAATTTTAAGTTTTACAATGGCAGTATTAATATTTTGGTCATAATACTGAAATTTTGAAGTATCTTTTCCGTGTTTCTTAAAGAGGAATTGTGTCATTGCTCTGACTTCAACTGAATAGTAAATATTTAACAACCTAGTTATTTTTTTTAAGAGAGAGAGAGAATTTTTTTTAATATTTATTTTTTAGTTTTTGGTGGGCACAACATCTTTTTATTTTATTTTTATGTGGTGCTGAGGATCGAACCCAGCTCCCCGTGCATGCCAGGCAAGCACACTACCGCTTGAGCCACATCCCCAGCCCCAAACCTAGTTATTTTTACAGAAACTTAACAAGGTATGAGAAATGGATCTAAGATGGACATAGGTGACAAGGCAGTTTTTAAAATGCAGCTAAATGTTTAGTAATGTATGTTTTATTGCTTTTATACGCATAGGAAGTAATAAGTTCATGCCTATCCAGATTTAAGTTCAAAAACATTTCTTAGGCTTTTAATTCATCAAGTGATTTTAGGCTTATTTCTCTGAACTATTCTTGAAATGACAGTATTTATGGTTAAAGGGATATTTATTTAATTCTTTGGGTACCACTTATATATCAGAAACTGTTAATTACTAGGGCTGCAGAAATGAAATACATAATTCCTGCTATCAACAACCTCATTATTTTAATGAGGAAAATACTAATGAACAATTAAAATACAGTACAGTAACTCTTATGATAGACATAAGCTTAGAGAGGCATAAAATATGAAATAACCCGGGCTGGGGTTGTGGCTCAGTGACAGAGTGCTTACCTAGCATGTTCAAGGCCCTGGGTTCAATCCTCAGCACCACATAAAAATAAATAAATAAAATAAAGGTATTGTGTCCAACTATAACTAAAAAATAAATACTTAAAAAAAAGATATGAAATAACCTATTTGAGGAAAGGTTAGAAAATATTTCTTGGAAGATGTCATATCCAGTCTCCAATAGAAATGAATAGGAAGTCTTCAGAGAGCACTGTGCATTTGGGAATTGGCAATAGCTTCTGTATCTGACAAAAAGATGTAATGTGTTCAGAGTGGTGTGGGGAGACACAGGAGTTTCGTCTACATATTTAGACAAAACTCAGATTACAAGAGGCCTTTCTTGCCATCTTGAATATTCTTCTTAAGGAAATAATGAATTTAGATTTATGTGATGAAAAATTGGAGAGCCAGTAAAGGATTTTGACAAACTTAGAGGATTTTTAGAAAGATAACTTAATAATACAGTGAATTAGAAGAGGATATGATTAGAAAGACAAATTCATTTGGAAGACTGTTGCAATATTGAGTAATAGGTGATCAGAAATTTGCTTTTATTTTCTTTAAAGGAAATTTTGTTAACTCCATACAAACTGCTTTTGCTGCTGGTATTGGCTGGCTGATCACCTTTTGTTCCAAAGGAGGAGGTAATTTTATTACTTTGTCATCCTAAAATGAAGACTGTAACATTTAAATTTTAGGTGGCAGTTCTAAATATGCTACTGTAATTGCCTTTTCATTAAATAATTGATGATTTGAAACCATGATTTAGACACAAGATTATGATTTTTTACTTACTGAATATGTACCATTTTTGTTACATAAGATGTTATCACATTGTTAATTTGTTAATGTGACATGTATTTGTTGGACAAGTTTTTCAGCTTACTTGTATTCATGATAAATTGTAGCTTAGGTACCCACTAGTGTATTTGGCATATTGCAAAAATAATTATTGTTAACAACTATAATTCCTCCCAAATAATAGTATTTGGAAGTATGAATTTTTCCTTGTTAGATATTAAAATGAATATGTTTGGCTCACAAAGTTGTGTATATGAAAATGATACTTTTTCATTTCTAGGACCTTTCCCTCAGTGAACTAAATTGAAATTCAATACCCTACATGCCAAACTATAACATAAACTGCATTCAATGAGATTGATTAAAAATTGGTCCCAATGTTACAAAATATCCTAATTCATTAATTTAATACATTTTTATATGTTAATCCCAACATGAATCTTTTCCCAAAACTTTACCTCTCAACCATAATGCCCCTTTGTTAGGAATGTATTATAATATATGACTAAAATTAACCATTCAACCCCTCCTATAAGACCAATATCAGGAAGATACTGCTTTTGAACAAAAATCAGCCTTAAACTTTTTTTGCAAAGGGATTTTGTTTCATTTTGACCTAATGCCCAGATTGTTGTCCATCCACAAAACATTTTAAACTTTTTAATATTCTTTTGTCTTGTTTTTGAACCCAGGTAATTTGATCTTACCTATCTCTGTAGGCTCTATGATACTACAGCTCCCTTTTCTTCCAAATCTAAACTCAAATGTATCCTACCATTCATATTTACAGAACTTTCATAAAACTAGTGAAGAACATATTTTCAGATTTGTGAAGACCCTAAAGAAACGCTTACTTTTCTGTAGCTAGAAATCCTGAAAAATTAATGAGAAGGCATGAGAGTTTGTGTATATAAAATGAGACTACTAAGTAATATTTCATTATTTATTTCTGTTAATGGTCTTAGAATCAACATGGTAATTTGAGGAAGAGGCATGAGAGGATAGGCTTAATAAAGCTTAAATAGCCTCATAAAGTTTTTTTTTCCCCTCAGATTGTTTGACTTCACAGACACGACTTAGGCTTAGTGGCATGTTGGTAAGCATCCATCCTTTTTGTAAAACTACATCATTATAAGTTGACTTCAAATTTTTTTCATTGTTTCTTGAACACTTAACTCATATTTTTGTAATTTTTCTTATTTTCTGAATGATGTATTCATAGATAAAACTTTCTAAATAATTAGTTGTGTGAAGTACCTTTTCATATGGTGCTTTCATTTGTGTAAGTATTCTACGTTTATTATGAATTCCTCTAGTTATATATTAGTTTTCTTATCGTTTCCAAAATTTGTTTCCTGTTGTTTTGATTTTACTTTGTTATTTCTTATTCTCATATCATGTTAAGAGTTGAAGAATGTGGTCTGTTTGTTGATTATTTAATGTTATGATAGCATGCATTGGCTTGGGAGTTTTCAGTTGTAAAAGTTGGGAAACTTCTATGTGAGCTCAAATAATAAGTCTCTATATGTATGTTGGGTGTAATTTTTGTATCAGATCACATTTAATCATGTTATTCATATCAGTATCATTTAGTTTTTTTCTACTTGATATAGAACCATAATTTCTGAGCAGGCATATTAAAACTTCCAACTGAATGGTTGATGTGTTTCTCTCTGTCCTATTCATTTTTATATAGAGTCCTGCAAGAGGAATATGTCCTAAGAAATTGACATTATATAATTTCTTCATCAGATGAATATCAGAGTATACTTACACAAACCTAGAAGGTGTAGCCTGCTTCACATCTAATCTATATGTAGCCTATTGCTTCTAGACTAAAACTTGCTATAAATGTTGCTATAGGGGTTGTTGTAGCACAGTGGTTAAGTATTAATGTATCTAGCCATAGAAAAAGTACAATAAAAGTATATTATATTGGGCTGGAGTTGTGGCTCAGCAGCAAAGCACTCGCCTAGCACATGCTAGGCCCTGGGTTTGATCCTAAGCACCACATAAAAATAAAATAAAGATGTGTCCACTGAAAACTAAAAAATAAATATTAAAAAATTCTCTCTCTCTCTTTCTCTCTCTCTCTCTCTCTAAAAAAAAAAGTATATTATAAAAGATGGTACACTTGTATTGAACATTTAGTAGGTAATGGAGCTTGTAGGACTAAAAATTTCTTCAGGTAGATAACTTGAGTGAATATGAGGTTTCAGAGCCTTATTATCTACTACTGTATACTTTATAAGACACTAATTTTGCTACAATAAGTTTATGAAAACAATTTCTTTAGTAATAAATTAACCTTAGCTTTCTGTAATTTTTTTTACTTTATACATTTTTTACTTTTTGACTCTTGTAATAATACTTAGCTTGAAACATAAACATTGTACAACTATATAAAAATAGATTATATGAATATTCTTTTAATTTTTTATTGATTTTTGTGTTTGTGGTGCTTATTCTATAAATGTTTTTCTCTTAATTGTTTTCATTTTAAACCTTTAAAAAAAAAAAAAAAACTAAAGCACAAACCCACTTTAGCCTACACCTCCATAATATCAGAAGTGTCAGTATCACTGTCCTTCATCTCCACATTTTCTTCTTCTGGAAGGTCTTCAGGCATGGAGCTATCATCTCTCATAATAGTACTGCCTTCTTCTGGAATCTTTCTGAATCTAAGTGAGGCTCTTATTGAGGAAATGTCATTCTTTTCATAAATATCTGTGACCATCCAATGTAAACCTCTTCGTGTTAGGGTTCATGTTTTCAAACTTTGTAAGGAGCTTAGTAAGGTCTTCAAAGGTTTTACTAGATCCTTAACAGGGAAGTGAAGTTCTTGGGTTCTTCTTTCATTAGATTGCTTTTCACTTGCATCTTTAGTTATGTGTTCACTAAGCAATAGGAATTTTTCAACTGGATCATAATCTTATGGGATCATTTTCCTATATGCTGTTCATTGTTCACCAAATTATTATGCAATGCATATTTATTTATTTATTTATTTATTTTCAAATTTATTTTTTTTTTAAAAATTTTTTATTGTTGGCTGTTCAAAACATTACATAGTTCTTGATATATCATATTTCACAATTTCATTCAAGTGAGTTATGAGCTCCCATTTTTACCCCATATACAGATTGCAGAATCACATCAGTTACACATCCATTGATTTACATATTGCCATACTAGTGTCTGTTGTATTCTGCTGCCTTTCCTATCCTCTACTATCCCCCCTCCCCTCCCCTCCCCTCTTCTCTCTCTGCTCCCTCTACTGACATTCGTTTGTCCCCCTTATATTATTTTTCCCCTTCCCCTCACTTCCTCTTGTATGTACTTTTGTATAACTCTGAGGGTCTCCTTCCATTTCCATGCATTTTCCCTTCTCTCTCCCTTTCCCTCTCACCTCTCATCCCTGTTTAATGTTAATCTTCTTCTCATGCTCTTCGACCCTACTCTGTTCTTAGTTACTCTCCTTATATCAAAGAAGACATTTGGCATTTGTTTTTTAGGGATTGGCTAGCTTCACTTAGCATAATCTGCTCTAATGTCATCCATTTCCCTGTAAATTCTATGATTTTGTCATTTTTTAATGCAGAGTAATACTCCATTGTGTATAAATGCCACATTTTTTTTATCCATTCATCCATTGAAGGGCATCTAGGTTGGTTCCACAGTCTAGCTATTGTGAATTGTGCTGCTATGAACATCGATGTAGCAGTGTCCCTGTAGCATGCTCTTTTTAGGTCTTTAGGGAATAGACCGAGAAGGGGAATAGCTGGGTCAAATGGTGGCTCCATTCCCAGCTTTCCAAGAAATCTCCATACTGCTTTCCAAATTGGCTGCACCAATTTGCAGTCCCACCAGCAATGTACAAGTGTACCCTTTTCCCCACATCCTCGCCAGCACTTGTTGTTGTTTGACTTCATAATGGCTGCCAATCTAACTGGAGTGAGATGGTATCTTAGGGTGGTTTTGATTTGCATTTCTCTGACTGCTAGAGATGGTGAGCATTTTTTCATGTACTTGTTGATTGATTGTATGTCCTCCTCTGAGAAGTGTCTGTTCAGGTCCTTGGCCCATTTGTTGATTGGGTTGTTTGTTCTCTTATTGTCTAATTTTTTTAGTTCTTTGTATACTCTGGATATTAGGGCTCTATCTGAAGTGTGAGGAGTAAAGATTTGTTCCCAGGATGTAGGCTCTCTATTTACCTCTCTTATTGTATCTTTTGCTGAGAAAAAAACTTTTTAGTTTGAGTAAGTCCCATTTGTTGATTCTAGTGATTAACTTTTGTGCTATGGGTGTCCTATTGAGGAATTTGGAGCCCGACCCCACCTACTGTAGATCGTAGCCAACTTTTTCTTCTATCAGACGGCGTGTCTCTGATTTGATATCAAGCTCCTTGATCCATTTTGAATTAACTTTTGTGCATGGCGAGAGAAAGGGATTCAGTTTCATTTTGTTGCATATGGATTTCCAGTTTTCCCAGCACCATTTGTTGAAGATGCTATCCTTCCTCCATTGCATGCTTTTAGACCCTTTATCAAATATAAGGTAGTTGTAGTTTTGTGGATTGGTTTCTGTGTCCTCTATTCTGTACCATTGGTCCACCCGCCTGTTTTGGTACCAGTACCATGCTGCTTTTGTTACTATTGCTCTGTAGTATAGTTTGAAGTCTGGTATCGCTATACCGCCTGATTCACACTTCTTGCTTAGCATTGTTTTTGCTATTCTGGGTCTTTTGTTTTTCCATATGAATTTCATGATTGCTTTCTCTATTTCTACAAGAAATGCCATTGGGATTTTGATTGGCATTGCATTAAACCTATAGAGAACTTTTGGTAATATCGCCATTTTGATGATGTTAGTTCTGCCTATCCATGAACAGGGTATATTTTTCCATCTTCTAAGATCTTCTTCTATTTCTCTCTTTAGGGTTCTGTAGTTTTCATTCTATAAGTCTTTCACCTCTTTTGTTAGGTTGATTCCCAAGTATTTTATTTTTTTTGAAGATATTGTGAATGGAGTGGTTGTCCTCATTTCCATTTCAGAGGATTTGTCGCTGATATACAGGAATGCCTTTGATTTATGCGTGTTGATTTTATATCCTGCCACTTTGCTGAATTCATTTATTAGCTCTAATAGTTTCTTTGTAGAGCCTTTTGGGTCTGCTAGGTATAGAATCATGTCATCTGCAAATAGTGATAATTTAAGTTCTTCTTTTCCTATTTTGATGCCTTTAATTTCTTTCGTCTGTCTAATTGCTCTGGCCAGTGTTTCGAGAACTATGTTGAACAGAAGTGGTGAGAGAGGGCATCCCTGTCTTGTTCCAGATTTTAGAGGGAATGCCTTCAATTTTTCTCCATTCAGAATGATGCTAGCCTGAGGCTTAGCATAGATTGCTTTTACAATATTGAGGTATGTTCCTGTTATCCCTAGTTTTTCTAGAGTTTTGAACATAAAGGGATGCTGTACTTTGTCGAATGCTTTTTCCGCATCTATCGAGATGATCATATGATTCTTATTTTTAAGTCTATTGATGTGGTGAATAACATTTATTGATTTCCGTATATTGAACCAGCCTTGCATCCCAGGGATGAATCCTACTTGATCATGGTGCACAATTTTTTTGATAAGTTTTTGTATCCGAGTGGCCAGAATTTTATTGAGGATTTTTGCATCTAGGTTCATTAGAGATATTGGTCTGTAGTTTTCTTTCTTTGAAGTGTCTTTGTCTGGTTTAGGTATCAGGGTGATGTTGGCCTCGTAGAATGAATTTGGAAGTTCTCCCTCTTTTTCTATTTCCCGAAGTAGCTTGAAAAGTATTGGTATTAGTTCTTCTTTAAAGGTTTTGTAAAACTCTGCTGTATACCCATCCGGTCCTGGGCTTTTCTTAGTTGGTAGTCTTTTGATGGTTTCTTCTATTTCCTCAATTGATATTGGTCTGTTTAGGTTGTCTATATCCTCCTGAGTCAATCTGGGCAGATCATATGACTTAAGAAATTTATCTATGCCTTCACTATCTTCTAATTTATTGGAGTATAAGGATTCAAAATAATTTTTGATTATCTTCTGTATTTCTGAAGTGTCTGT